TTATGAGACACAGGGGATACCTTCCTCGGATCATTGCGGTACAGGGGGATGGGGTAAAGGAATATGGGGATACCTTTTTCGGATCTTGCTGGCACAAGGGGTTGGGGTTATTGGGATACGGGGGATACCTATTTAAAACCACAGAAGCACAGGAGGTTGGGGTTATGAGATATGGGGATACTAACCTCGGAAATTTGGGGGGGCTATGGTTATAATATTCAGGGATACCTTTCTAGGATCACTGAAGCACAAGGGGCTGGTGTTATAGAACACGAGGGACACCTTTCTAGCATTTCGTAGAGAATGAAGAAGTTCCAGCTAGCATTTGTCCTCAGTGTGCCACTTCTGTATCACCCTCGTGTGATACAAAGTGGCACACTTTTGTGTCACCTCGTGTGTCTTGTAAAACCAGTTTTGGAGATACACAACCGGATTCACATTAACCTGTTTCCAGTTTACCTTAATGAGCAATGTGAGATCCTCTGTGCTCTATTATCCTTTAATTGATGTATGCTCAAGACGGTGTATTCACATTATAAACAAAAATAAGTATATATGCACATAAATAAGGTGCATATATATATCAACCTAATTAAATAAGAACCATGTCTAGAGAAACGTATGCCTAGAGGAACCTAATTAAATAAGGTCCATGCATATATGAGCCTAATTAAATAAGGTCCATGTATATATGAGCCTAATTAAATAAGGTCCATGTATATATGAACATAAATAAGATACATGTATACAATAACCTAATTAAATAAGATGCATGTATATAGCAACCTAATTAAATAAGGTGCATGCATATAGGAACCTAATTAAATAAGATTCGTGTATATAAGAACCATATTAAATAGGTGCATGCATATAGGAACCTAATTAAATAAGATCTATGTATATAGGAACCCAATTAAATAAGGTGCACGTATATATGAACCTATTTAAATAAAGTACATGTATATAGGAACCTAATTAAATAAGGCACATGTATATAGGAACCTAATTAAATAAGGTACATGTATATGAGTATGACATCTGTTAAGTGTATTATCATCAGTAATAAACATATATATCATAATCTGTTAGGTGTATTGTCATCAGTAATAAACACATGTAAGTCAAATTTGCAATTGGACAGCGACCTTCAACATCTCCTAAGATGCTTCCTTGTAGAAGAGTTCCGTGTTACAAATACAGTATACGTATAATATATATATATAACTCGTTACGAGTATGTTAAAATTTATTTATAAAGTGAATGAATTTATTTTGTATTTATTCGGTTGGTATATACATTATGGGTGGGTGACGAGTAGGGAACATTAGGAGTAGGCACCACATCTTTGGGCAGTGAGTGCGAGTATGGTGAAGTGGTTGGAATATTCAAGTTGATGGTGTACCAAGAGAGAAAAGCAAGTTTGGAAAACATTCGTGAAAAGATGTTTGATAACAATGATGTAAAATAAACGTTTGTGCACAGACAGTTGTGGTGCAGGAGGTGACGGTTGTAGGTAGAGGTCGAGAGTAAATACTAGCCGAAGACCCACTAAAGGAGCCTCGTTACAGCCTTTCTGACTCCTTGACAGAATGTTGTCACATCTCTGATAATAGTGGGGCCATCTTGACTCCTGGACACAATGATGTCTTATATTTGATAACAGTAGGGCCATTTTGACTTCTGGAGACAGTGGCGTTCTGCCTCTGATGACAGTGGCATCTTCTTTGCTTTTGGAAAACTGGCGTTGTTTCTTAGAAGACATTGGGGGAAGTCTTCTTAATTTCTGAACACAGTGACATCTTATCTCAAAGGCTCTAGATTCTCCTCCGGGACGACGCCGAAATTTTTATTAGAGATTTCATAGATGGAAGCGGAGTCGGTGCAGGGGAAAGCTTCAGTGGGATGGGCACAGGTCAGGGAGTCTTGGCTGAAGACCGCGTCTTGTCCGCAGATGAAAGTGAAGTGAGCGGTCTCCGTCAGCTGTTGGCACAAAGAACAGAGAGCATAAAAAACTGAAAAAAGATTACTACTGCAGCAGTCTACATAATGGGCCATACTAGCAGGTCTGACTTATTCCCACCAACGTATTTACCTAAGAAGTTTGTCCCGTGGTTTCCTGTCTTCCGAGTTCAATCTTTTAGAAAAGTAAAATAAAATGCTTGCAGTATTTACTAGTCAGGAAATGCGTAATGGTCTAATTACCCTTTAAAATGGAAGGATTATATAAATGAGAATATCGCAGGAATTTCTGTTACCCTTGTGACGTGCCAAGCCAGCTGTGAGTATCTATTTTGTGAAATGGGTTTGTTAAAAATAAAAACAGAGAGAGAAAGTTGTCTCACCAAGCCGTCCTCCTCGGTGACTGGGTAGCACACGTGGAAGGCCCTGCAGGAGTGTTCCACGTCGGCGTAGTAGCCGAAGGGGCGCTGCTCGCAGTTGAAGGAGGACTGGAGAGCACCCGAGCCTCCTGGCAGCTTCCCTGCCATCCTGGCGGAGGTGGCGACGAACAATACCGCCAGCAGCACCAACAATTCTCTCATCATGGCTACCAAGCAAACAAACATCATGACACACAAATATTGCTTTAAGTAACATCATTATTTTAAGAGTATCTACAATTCCTTGGAACAAGAACCTTTTACTTCCAATGGAGCATCTCCCTTAAAGAGCTTAAGTATCATGAACACCACAAATATACTTTAATAGCAATGCATTGAAAATTTACCCCCGGTTGTGAAAGTATAAAGAAAAGTGCTGAAGTATTCTTGGGGAGCAAACCGGTGGTCATGCATTTGTAAGACCATAGCAATACCCACCACGTCACAGTATTAAAATCTCTGTGAAAAGATTCAACATGAAGTTCGTTTTGAACATTCTGTGGACTTGTTACAATTACTTTGATTGGTTTAAAGTCTTTTGACTGCATGTGAGTCAGTAAGGCTGCATGTCACTGTTCACCAACATCAGGAATACGATAATCCCTAAAATATGGACTAAAACAAATGTTCAGTGTATACTGACTAAGAGCTACACACCTGTCGGTGTTCTCAGTGCAAGAAATACAGTTCTAGGTGTATGTACACAGAGATACATACCTTTCGGTGTCACACTGACACTCCTCTCGGTGTGTACACACTGAGAAATATACACAGACATACACACATCTCCCTGCACATATTCTCTACCCACGAACTAGGCTACAGACCTCTCAAAAAAAAAAAAAAAAAAAAAAAAAAAAAATATATATATATATATATATATATATATATATATATATATATATATATATATATATATATATATATATATATATATTATATATATATATATATATAATATATATATATATATATATATATAATATATATATATATATATATATATATATATATATATATATATATATATATATATATATATATATATATATATATATATATATATATATATATATATATATATATATATATATATATATATATATATATATATATATATATATATATATATATATATATATATATATATATATATAATATATATATATGGTAATTCACGTTGAAAAAAAATGAGCCTATCTTCTGATCTCCCAAATTTAATGATAAACGTGTCACATTTTGTTAGATTTCTGACTAGTTCGTACAGTTGCCGCTGTGTGACCCATTCGGGTTCAGTGCTTTTTTCCGAGTATAATAATGACAAATGTCTGGTTACGTAAACAAGAACTTGTGATGGGGAAGGAGAACGGCTCCGAATTCGCCTATACCTTAATAATTCACAATTAACCAATACATTACATGGTAAACTGCATGGCGTTTCGGTTCCGTTCTGGACCATTGTCATGGTCCAGAACGGAACCATGACAATGGTCTAGTATGGACCGAAACGTGGTCTAATTTCATTTCCAAACGTGTGAGTTAGTTGCGAATTGTTCCAGCCACGATCTTCCGATCTATTCCACGTCGAGAAATTCCTCTCGGCTTTGGCACAACTAGAGAAAGCTCTGTGAGAGGGCAGGAAAAACCACCTGTTACCTGAGCAGGTGAGGTGTTGAGAGAACTGCTGACGTTGCTCCACCTGCCTGCTTATTTATACCTGCTGGCGGGAGCCAAATAGGCAAAACATCCGGTCTCGGAGGGAATGTGGAGGCGAACTGGAGGTGGCGAGGCTGTCTAGGATCACGACCTGAAAGAGTGTAGACCCAGGGGTGACGTCACTTCCCTGGGTCACGGCACACTTTTTGATTATCCACAGTTTTGCTACTCATCCACAAACTTTGTCTGCACTCTTGGCTAATCTATACTTTGCTTTTCAACGCTGCAACTTTTTCTCATCTTATTACGTCAGTTTCTGACGTGGTTATCAATGTCCGTTTCTTACTCTTTCAGCTGTTTCCAGTCATATGTTTCTGCATTTTAAATTAAGTTAGACTAATTTAGGTTAAGTCAATTTTGGTTAGGTTATACTGGGTTATGTTAGGTTAGGATGCATAAACAACCTATCAACTTGTAGTGTTCCAGCCACTGTATTGTGACAAGGATTTTGTCAAGCATTCCAGTAAGGGTTCAGCAGCTACGGCAGCTTCAAAAGTTTCGTTCCAGCAGAGCTGTTACTAATGCCTGGGGATTACCAGCTAGAGAATGGTCTGGCCCTTTTGGCAGCACGGAACCTATGGTCTATCCCTAGACTCGCCCCGGAGTTTGTAAAACAACCAGTTAAGCTTGCCTGTCCAGACGAGGTTGAAACTGCACGCGGGTTTTTTTCTTTCACTGTGAATCGTGTTGTTCCAGTCCAACACCGTTACATCCCAACATTCTCACACCACGGGTGGTATACGTGTGGATTTTAACGTTGTCTGGGCTGGCCGTAAACCATCCCCTCCTCTTGCTAGACGCGTCGTTCCATTATTATTTCCTTATTTGTGGTTATTTGTAAGCCCACCGTACTCTCGTACATAGCAATTTGAATTAAAATATTTGAAGTTGATTCTTTTTGTAAGGTAAAATATGAAAATGACCAGGAATCGTAAGGAAAAGAATATGTAAATAGAAGCTGAATGAGAGACGGGCCTTAAATGGAGTCTTAATGACCAGGTCTGGGTTATTGTCAGAGTGATACAACGTCGCTCGTCCTCCTCCTGAGTGGGGTCATAGGGCATAAACTTTCACCTTGCACATATTTAGAGTCCTGTGTTCCAATGTTTTTTTGATGTACAGGGTGTCCACATAGTCTTTTCTCGATTAGAAAAAAAGCACATTGTAAAAGATGTGAAAGTATAGATCTCTGTATAAGATAGAGAATTATCGTTACATGAAGTTCCTTGGCAGATGGATTATGCGTCATGATCCCAAGAAATGGCTTCCACGCTCCCCTGCTATCTCGTTGATGACCCCATCATACGGCTCCCATGCTCCCCTGATATTTCGTTGATTACCCCATCATATAGCTCCCACGCTCCCCTGATATTTCGTTGATTACCCCATCATATGACTCCCACGTTCCCTTGATATCTCGTTAATGACCCCATTATATGGCTCCCACGTTTCCCTGATATCTCGTTGATGACCCCATCATACGGCTCCCACGTTCCCTTGATATCTCGTTGATGACGCCATAAACCGGTCCCCCAAGCTCCCTTGATGTTACGCCTTAACACTTCTTTTGGGTGTTTGCGAAGGACTATGTTGTCCACATACCAACAGCTGACATTACAACACTAAGTGCCAGAATAATTGATGTCATGGGAAGAGCCACGCCGCATATGTTGGAAAACAACCAGGTTTGATCCGAAAGGGTGGTATCGATTCTTTAGATCAACAGCCCTTACCGTAGCCCTTTAACAACCCCTCACCAGCATCAAGGGCACCTTGTATGGACAATGAACTGAACATCATATACTTCAGTTTCCTTTTAAAAAATCCTTCATTGTGTCACAAAACATCAAATTAATCCAAGCTCATTCCCGTTCATTTCGCGGCGATATTCAGAGTTTGAATGCATTAAACTGTGACGCAGCATGACAGCTTTTCAGTGGAGTAATAAGAGGAGGAATGATAATGAAAGAATAGAAATAATACTAAGCTTTACTGACACACACACACACACACCCTGTGATGATGATGGTGAGAGGTGGACAAGGTAAATAAATAAAGGAAAAGGCATGAAACACAAGGGTTGTAATGTTTACACCATTATCTCCGTATATTAAAGATTAAGACAGTACCAGACCATTATCCATGTGTGAGTTAGTTATGAATTGTTCCAGCCTCGGTGTTGTGGCTTTTATTCCTCTGCGGGTTAGTTGTGAATTGTTTCAATCACGGTGTTGTGTTTTATAGTCTTCTGTGAGTAAGTTGTGAATTGTTCCAGTCCCGGTGTTGTTTTATATTCTTCTGTGGGTTAGTTGTGAATTGTTCCAACCACAGTGCTGTGGCTTATATTCTTTTGTGGGTTAGTTGTGAATTGTTCCAGCCCCGGTGTTGTGTCTTATATTCTTCTGTGGGTTACTTGTGAATTGTTCCAGCCCCGGTGCTGTCTTATATTTTTCTGTGGGTTAGTTGTGAATTGTTCCAGCCCCGGTGTTGTGTCTTACGTTCTTCTGTGGGTTAGTTGTGAATTGTTCCAGCCCCGGTGTTGTGGTTTCTATCCTTTTGTGGGTCTTGGAAATTGTTCTATCCATGGTGTTGTAGATTTTTATTCTTGCGTGGAGTTAGTTGTGTATTACTCCAGCCACGGTGTTGCGGCTTTTAATCTTCTGTGGGTTATTTGTAAACTATCCAAGTCACTGTATAGTGACTTTTTTCATTCTTTTCAGTAACTTTGCTAGAGTGGACAAAGTCAGCAAATATTGACAGAGACGCGAGATACGGGAGTCGCAGTGTGTACAGTCGTATCACATAAGCAACGGTAATTCCAAGGGCACATAAGGGGTCGTCAGGGCCAAGCTCCACTTAGGCGTTACTGCAAGGGTGCTATGGTGGTGGCCACCCCGTTATATTCGAGGCGCAACTGAAGGTTGGAGTCCTCGTAGATGGAGGCGGCGTCAGCACAGGGAAAGGCTTCCTTCGGGTGGGTGCAGTCGAGCTGCTCTTGGTTGAAGATGGTGTCCTTGCCGCAGAGGAACGTGAAGTGTGCTACCTCCACCAGCTGTATCGGGGACAAACAAGAGTACAAGGTCAAACAATGTATATTAGTTTTTGAGTTTGCAAGAGTTACTCTACAGCTCGTAGGTTCGCCTCATAATTTTCGGCTGGATGATGTGACCTGTCTGTTCCTTATACATTCTGTTTATTCATTCCTATTATTATTATTACTATTTTTTCGAGAATAATATCAATAACATTTGTTACCATAAATTGTCATATATATCTAAAAGAAGAAAAACTGAACAGGAAAAAGATCTTCAAGAACATAAACAAGAGTGGGTAAAACACTATAAATATTAATTTTTAAAGCTCATGCCCGGCCTTATAGTAAACTACACGACACCAAAATACAAGACACCGAACTTCAGTGATATGGAACTTACACAACATCGAAGTTACAGGACATCGAACTACAAGACATCGAACTTACATGACATCGAACTTACAGGACCTTGAACTCATACATGAAACTATACAACGTCGAACTCACACTTTAACCTATACGACATCGAACTTTTACACCATCAAACTACAAGACATCAAATTTTCACGACATCGAACTCAAACTTCAAATTATATGACTTCGAACTCAAGGTTTCTCACCTGTTCTGCCTCGTCGTACACAGGCTGGCAGATGTGGTAGGCCTGGCAGTTGTTCTCTACATCGGCGTAGAAGCCATACTCACGATCCTGGCAGGAGAATCCTGGCTCGATACGGAAGCCTCCAGGCAGCTTCCCTGCCATCCTGGCCGAGGCTGCTACCACCACAACCAACAGCACTGACAACACCAGTTTCATTGTCACTGAAAAGTTTGTTGCGTTTAAAACTGATCGACTGCACGCTGTTCATTAAGATTGCACTTCACTTATACACTAACATCAAAATACTTTAATCTGTAAAATTAAAATTAAGTCGACTTCTAGTGTACAGACCCTGAAAGATATACAGCTCACTACATTTATGCAAGCCACTCATTGTATATACTCTGAAAGGTTAATTAACTGGATTTAAAGTCTACTGACTACACGAGGGTCTTAATATTAAGGCAGCATGTAACTTATTCGCACCTAGTCAGGAATACTATAATCACTATATTAAATATTAAACTCTATTGAATGAACATCTAGAGTATACAACCCTGTACTGAGAGTTTGCTAGATTCGTTAATTGGGTTTTTAAAGTCTATCGATTAGAGGAGGGTCATTAAGGCTGCGTGTAATCTGTTTACCGCCAGTCAAAAATTGAATCCCCTGAAAAGGGGATTAAACTAAAGCTTCGGACTATACACAGTGAGAGAAATTCACCTCTCACTGTATACACCATCAAGTGTGTACTTTTATTTGATCTAGTATGTTGCTCGTATGTTGGTTTGCGTGCAGCCAGCAGCAACAGCCTGGTTGATCAGGCTCTGATCCATCAGGAGGCCTGGTCTCAGACCGGGCCGCGGGGGCGTTGACCCCCGGAACTCTCTCCAGGTAAACTCCAGTGAGCTCATACAGACACTGGTAGAACACTATCACTTACCAAATGAGCCAGTAATTTACGATTCATCATGAATCGTGGCTTACGCGCTACCATGGAGTTTTGGTACTCATTTTTTGCCGCCAATTCAAATCCCACCCGTACAGTGGTTTGGTTACGATTCATCATATTCTTTTTTTTTCAACGTTGAGATAAATAATTTCTAAAACAAACTGGTTGTGTTCTAATTATAATATATATTCTAACTGTTAGTCTGCGTAGAAGTGACCTTACTAGGCACAGTAAGGTCACGAGACCTTGGTCTGACCTTGTTATTAAACACTATAGCCTGATGACTGAGTTGTCACTCTCCTGGAAGTGTGAAGGAGTTACAGGAGAACAGATATTGTAGCTACCCGTATTTGCTTTCAAAAAAAGTTGTAGCATTGTAGTTATATAGTCAGGTGTGCCTACCTGCCATACTACCATATATGTGGGTAATACTTGCCATCCTACTATACGTGTGGGCAATATCTGCCATACTTCTGGGAAACCACAACCTACCCTGAGACAAGTATTCTCTTTTCATTGAGCACAGAGACAACAGAAACACTAACTTTGAAACGCAATTTGAAAATGAGATCACAATAAATTTTTAATAATTTAATTAAACTGAGAACACTTACAGTGTGTTGTTACCCTATTCTATATAATAATTACATTGTAGGAACACCCGCTGTGTGCGGCTACCCTAAGTGATAGTTAAATAGTGCAAAGAAAAGCAATTACATAGTGTGAACAAAAATAGTTATATTGTGTAAACAAAAGTAGTTATAAGAGTGTGAACACAAGATTGTTCTGTCACATTCCATCACAATGGGTTGCAGACATGATTTAATTTAATATGTCAGCTGGGTGATGAGACTATAGTCTAGTACACATTAGTTATTACAGGGAACACATAAGTACAGTTACACATTAGAATGGCACTCGACAAAACTATTAATAAAACTTCAATTGCTAAGGCGTTAAAAGGTCTTACCTAGGAGGAGTCGAGGTTGTTCTCAGTATGACAACAGCTGAGCTATACTGAGGTACGTGTGTGAGGAACGACCTGGTCACCACCCGCAATTTGGAGCAGTGGTGGCAGAACTGGATTTCACAAGGCTGTTCGCATCAGGGAGACGCTCACCTGACATTTATTTACACATATTGCTAGAACTGGAAGAATGCGTAGGTTCGGTGTGAGCTTTAAATAAGGTTGAACATGTGAGAGTTGGGGGAAAAAAGCCATGTGATTCCATGACCCTACTGAGATGGCAAGGTGGCCCTAGGTACCTCTAGTTCAAGGCTCTGGAGGTGAATACCAGCAACTCTCCCATGCTAGCGTGGTCACTTTCTCCACCTGTTCACCTTTCCCTTTCGTTTGGTGGCGTGTTTTAACGATCTCTCTTTTCTTTACGTCTACGGTATATCTGCTTTGCAGCACAGACTTTAAAACGAAGAGAATTTGAAGAAGTTATCACACGAGTGAATCACAAATACCCGAGGTCAGTATTATTACAACATGGTATAGAAAGGTCAGTGGGAGTGTGACACCAATACCGTGGTGGGAGACTCCGCCGCTCTGGCAACATTAAAACTATAAGTAATATGATGTTTCAAGGTCAGTGAGCGTAAATACACAGGGAAAAAATATATATGTATTTAGTGATCTGTGCGTACGAGGGTAGAACTCCAGTTCCTGGCCCCACCTCTTACTGAACTGTGTCTACCAAAGTAGAACTCCAGCTCCTGGCCCCACTTCTTACTGAACTGTGTATCCCAGGGTAGAACTCCAGCTCCTGACCCCTGCTTCTTGCTGAAGTACGTCCACCTATATACTAAGTGTGCAGCTGCGGTCTATGTCCTCTTATATTCACTTGGTCTGTTCACTAATAATAAACGATTCCTCTTAGTTCTTCTCAAGCCTTCAGAATGGATTGGGGTTGGGCCTGGAAGCTGGGGAAGGGTTCTTGATCCAAGGAATCGGAGATACATTGTTTCCTATGGGTCGAGTCTGCTTACCTTCCATTTCCCAGGAATGGTATGACCCCTAGGGGTTTAACCCTTCTCCGTGAAAAAAATATAATAATAATAATGATAATAATGTCATAATAATACTAATAATAATAATAATAATAATAATAATAATAATAATGTCCTCTCATATCAATCTTCCTGAGTACCTTGTTCGTCGTGATCATTTCTCCCTTGGCTCTTTCCTTTTCCAGTGACCTGAGTGTCACTTTACACAGAGAGAGAGAGAGAGAGAGAGAGAGAGAGAGAGAGAAGAGAGAGAGAGAGAGAGAGAGAGAGAGAGAGAGAGAGAGAGAGAGAGAGAGAGAGAGAGAAAGAGAGAGAGTTTATTTACCTGTAAAGAAGCTTAGTTCACTACCATACGTTCCTCTTACTTCACACCATATCCCAAAATAGCGATTTTACATCTCGAAAGATATTTTCAGTTTCTCTGATGAAACTCCTTATACAGATGACTTGTCATATATATTACAGTTAAATATCTTTATTACGCACCTCTATATCCATCCTGTGGGGGGTAGTGCTGTTATTGTGGAACTTATAATGGGAACAGCCAGAAGGGACCCATTTTAATGATAGCCAAGGAAGTTACAGTGGTAATGAATTATTTACAAGCTTATGGTTACGATCGTAAGCAGAAGAAGAAGAAGAAGAAGAAGAAGAAGAAGAAGAAGAAGAAGAAGAAGAAGAAGAAGAAGATGATGATGATGATGAGGAAGGACAAACCTGAGTCGCCAGTAGCGGCGAGTTCAACCACTCCCCAGGTAAGCTTGGTGTAAAGGTGAATTTATGCTAACGAGAAGGATGGTCAGGCCCCTCTAGGATAGCTGGGTTAAGGACGCCTAGGAGTCAGGGAACCCAACAACTACCACTTCCATCAACCCAACCACCACCACCACCACCTCTGCTACCACTACCATCATCGCTACCTCCATCATTACTTCTCCCACTACTGACAATACAACCACCACTATCACTAGATGTACAGGTGTAATGTTAACATGTATCAACATGGACATAATATGCAGAATAAGCTTTTGATTGGGACAGCGTTTTGCTCTGTGTAGAGCTTTATCAAGTCATGTTCGGCGCAGTGTACAGTTTTATCCAGTCAGAAGGGACCTCGAGGAGGGACGGGGAGGTAAAGAAGGGGAAGCAGACCAGGAGAAATGAGGTGAGAGAAGGGCGGGGGAGCAGGTTATTGGTGTCTACATACAGTGTATATACAAACCAGTCAATACTTTTACGAGACTAAACGACAAGATAAATAATAAGGAAGATTTACAGGGAGAGGCCAAATCTCATTTGGGCTCCACAAGGGCAGATTGTAAGCTTCTGTAAGGTACTGTAAACTTCTGTAAGCTACTGTAAGCTACTGCAAACTTCTGTAAGCTACCGTAAACATCTGTAAGCTACTGTAAATTTCTGTAAGATACTGTAAGCTTCAACTTCATTTGTGGCAATATAAACACAAATGCAGTATAATGTGATCCTTTATTGACTACGTTTCGCCCACACAGTGGGCTTTTTCAAGTCACAAACAGAACTACCTGGGGTGGAAGGAACGCGAGTATTTATAGTCCGGCTGAGGTCAGGTGAAGAATGCTGCATCTGATGATGTACCGAGTTGGGTTGTAGAGTCTAAAAACTTGGGTAGCTTGGAAAGGAGACTGGACAAGTTTGTGAGCAGACCTTCTACAGTGTTCTTATGTGGGATAGCGATGAAGAAGTTTCTTGGCAAGTGGTTCAGCTATGTTATAGAAGCCACTATTCTGGTTGAAGTTGTCGGATACAGAAATAAGTGATGATTCCAGGATTCTTCGGTATTGGGTGTTGTCTTCTGTGGCGATAAGTCTTGAGTTTTCTGTAGTTTATCAAGTGGTTGTGTGAATTACGGTGTTGTACGCATGCATTCCTTGTGTCGTCAGACCTGCTTGCGTATTGGTGTTCTGAAATACGTGTTTGGAGGTCCCTTGATGTTTCGCCCACGTATAACTTGTTGCAGTCATTACAAGGGATTATGTTACCCTGCAGAGGATTGAGGCTTGTCCTGCTACTACTGGTGATGTCCTTGATGGTCGTGGTTGTGGAGGTAGATACTTGGAATGATGTTTGGCAAAGATGTTGGAAACATGTTTGGCAATGGAGTTGGTGGGAAGGACTATGTTCTCTTCTCGGCAGTGTCTTCTCTGGGTGTGTTGAAGATGTTTAATGCTCGTCGTCTGCAGTCTCTGATGAAGTGTCGAGGATAGTGGAGTTTGGAAATACCTGTTCAATTATAGTGCATTCTTCCTCAAGGAACTCGTTGCTGCAGATTCTGAGTGCACGCAGGAAGAAGCCTATAATTACACCACGTTTGGTTTTGGTGTCGTGGTGAGAGTAGAAGTGGAGAAGATCGTTTTGGTTGGTGGGTTTTCGATAGACTTAAAACGAAGTTCGTGGTCAGCTTTGCAGAGTAGAACATCAAGGAAAGGAAGAGTGTTGTCGACCTCTTCTTCAAGTGTGAACTGGATTGAAGGCTCGACCTGGTTGAGCTTGTTCTTGGAGAGCTTGAACGTTGAAGCGTTTAGGGTTATGAGGAGAATGTCGTCAACATAACGGAGCCAGGTGACAGACGAAGGAATAATGGTGGAGAAACGTTCGGCTTCTAGATGTTCCATGTATAGGTTCGCTAGGACTGCACTGAGTGGCGAACCCATGGGTAGTCCAAAAGTCTGCTGAAAGAGGTGATTTTCAAAAGAGAAACACGTAAAGCCAACACATAGTTCAACAGGTCGATTGAAGTCGCTGGCTGGAATGGGAAGATCAAGTGAATCGTCAATTTTCTTGCGCAAGAGATCGATGGCTTGTTTAGTAGGTACTTTAGTGAATAGGGAAGTCACGTCAAGGCTGGGAAATTTCTTGTTCCTGATGTTGATGTTGCGAATGCGATTGAGAAGATCACCTGAGTGTTTGAGATGTGCTGGACTGATAGTGCCCAAGAGTTTCGAGAGGTGTTTTGGCGAGAATTCCTGAGAGCTTGTGGGGAGCCACTGCCTATTCCCGAGGATATGGGCCTCAGTGGGATACCAGGCTTGTGAGTCTTTGGCAGGCCGTACATTCTGGCAGGTCTGGGGTTGCTGGGCATGGTGTGCAGAAGTTTTTCCCTTGTTCTGAGCTCCTCAGAATGCGGCGAGTCCTTTGGAAGAAAAGTTTTAGTAAGGTTGTCCACTTGGTTAGTTGTGAGAGGTTTGTAGGTATCTGGGTCATTAAGTAGATTGAGCATTTTGTTCCTGTAATCGTCAGTGTTCATGATGACAACACCACCTCCTTTATCAGCGGTGGTGACCCTGATGGTCGTGTCTTTGCTAACCTTGAGTGCATTGATGTAACGTCGGGGTATGACTGGGGAGCTGCGTGTTGAGATGGCTGCTGAGATGATGCCTTGAAGATAGCCTTTTTGGAAGTCGGAAGTCATTGTGTCTGTAGATTTTGGCGATGAAATTGAGGTCTTGTTTTGGTTTCGTAATTCCTGTTGCGAATTGAGGCCTAAGCTGAGGGCTTCAGTTTCTGTGGTTGACAGTGGACGAGATGAAAAGATTTTGAATAATTTCAGGTCTTCCAAAACTTTTCCAATTACTATTATCGCAGAGTGTTTGTAGTTTCCTAGTAAGTCTGATCTTCTGTTGAACATTCGCTGTGGTAACTCTGCTGCGAATGATTTCGGCGGTGCGTCTGTTCATGTTGCCCCGGAGTGTTGTGCCTAGTGTTCTGGCTTGGAGAAAAGCTTCCTTTGTAGCATTGTTTAAGTCATCTGCACACTCTTCAAGGTAGGTCCGAGCTGTAGCGGAGAAAGGTGGTTTGATGTTGGCAATTTGAGGAGGAGTAGATCTTGGTAAGACCATTTCTTGGATGCAGTCACGAAGAAAATTGTGTCTGTTGCGAAGTGAGTAAGCTTTTAGAAGAAGGTCCAGGTATTCTCTGTGTGAAGGATCCATTTCTACTGCAGTGTTTGACACGATGGAAATAAATGGTATAAAATACCGACACAATGGCAATATAAACACAAATGCAGTATAATGTGATCCTTTATTGACTACGTTTCGCCCACACAGTGGGCTTTTTCAAGTCACAAACAGAACTACCTGGGGTGGAAGGAACGCGAGTATTTATAGTCCGGCTGAGGTCAGGTGAAGAATGCTGCATCTGATGATGTACCGAGTTGGGTTGTAGAGTCTAAAAACTTGGGTAGCTTGGAAAGGAGACTGGACAAGTTTGTGAGCAGACCTTCTACAGTGTTCTTATGTGGGATAGCGATGAAGAAGTTTCTTGGCAAGTGGTTCAGCTATGTTATAGAAGCCACTATTCTGGTTGAAGTTGTCGGATACAGAAATAAGTGATGATTCCAGGATTCTTCGGTATTGGGTGTTGTCTTCTGTGGCGATAAGTCTTGAGTTTCTGTAGGAAACTACAAACACTCTGCGATAATAGTAATTGGAAAAGTTTTGGAAGACCTGAAATTATTCAAAATCTTTCATCTCGTCCACTGTCAACCACAGAAACTGAAGCCCTCAGCTTAGGCCTCAAATTCGCAACAGGAATTACGAAACCAAAACAAGACCTCAATTTCATCGCCAAAAACTACAGACACAATGACTCCGACTTCCAAAAAGGCTATCTTCAAGGCATCATCTCAGCAGCCATCTCAACACGCAGCTCCCCAGTCATACCCCGACGTTACATCAATGCACTCAAAGGTTTAGCAGAAGACACGACCATCAGGGTCACCACCGCTGATAAAGGAGGTGGTGGTTGTCATCATGAACACTGACGATTACAGGAACAAAATGCTCATCTACTTAATGACCCAGATACCTACAAACCTCTCACAACTAACCAAGTGGACAACCTTACTAAAACTTTTCTTCAAAGGACTCGCCGCATTCTGAGGAGCTCAGAACAAGGGAAAGAAACTTCTGCACACCATGCCCAGCAACCCCAGACTGCCAGAATGTACGGCCTGCAAAGACTCACAAGCCTGGTATCCACTGAGGCCCATATCCTCGGGGAATAGGCAGTGCTCCCCACAAGCTCTCAGGAATTCTCGCCAAACACCTCTCGAAACTCTTGGGCACTATCAGTCCAGCACATCTCAAACACTCAGGTGATCTTCTCAATCGCATTCGCAACATCAAACATCAGGAACAAGAAACTTTCCAGCCTTGACGTGACTTCCCTATTCACTAAAGTACCTACTAAACAAGCCATCGATCTCTTGCGCGAAGAAAATTGACGATTCACTTGATCTTCCCATTCCAGCCAGCGACTTCATCGACCTGGTTGAACTATGTGTTGGCTTTACGTGTTTCTCTTTTGAAAATCACCTCTTTCAGCAGACTTTTGGACTACCCATGGGTTCGCCACTCAGTGCCAGTCCTAGCGAACCTATACATGGAACATCTAGAAGCCGAACGTTTCTCCACCATTATTCCTTCGTCTGTCACCTGGCTCCGTTATGTTGACGACATTCTCTCATAACTCCTAAACGCTTCAACGTTCAAGCTCTCCAAGACAAGCTCAACCAGGTCGAGCCTTCAATCCAGTTCACACTTGAAGAAGAGGTCGACAACACTCTTCCTTTCCTTGATGTTCTACTCTGCAAAGCTGACCACGAACTTCGTTTTAAAGTCTATCGAAAACCCACCAACCAAAACGATCTTCTCCACTTCTACTCTCACCACGACACCAAAACCAAACGTGGTGTATTTATAGGCTTCTTCTGCGTGCACTCAGAATCTGCAGCAACGAGTTCCTTGAGGAAGAATGCACTATAATTGAACAGGTATTTTCCAAACTCCACTATCCTCGACACTTCATCAGAGACTGCAGACGACGAGCATTAAACATCTTCAACACACCCAGAGAAGACACTGCGAGAAGAGATACATAGTCCTTCCCACCAACTCCATTGCAAACATGTTTCCAACATCTTTGCCAAAACATCATTCCAAGTATCTACCTCCACAACCACGGACCATCAAGGACATCACCAGTAGTAGGCAGGACAAGCCTCAATCCTCTGCAGGGGTATACATAATCCCTTGTAATGACTGCAACAAGTTATACGTGGGCGAAAACATCAAGGACCTCCAAACACGTATTTCAGAAACACCAATACGCAAGCAGGTCTGACGACCAAGGAATGCATGCGTACAACACCGTAATTCACACAACCACTTGATAAACTACAGAAACTCAAGACTTATCGCCACAGAAGACAACACCCAATACCGAAGAATCCTGGAATCATCACTTATTTCTGTATCCGACAACTTCAACCAGAATAGTGGCTTCTATAACATAGCTGAACCACTTGCCAAGAAACTTCTTCATCGCTATCCCACATAAGAACACTGTAGAAGGTCTGCTCACAAACTTGTCCAGTCTCCTTTCCAAGCTACCCAAGTTTTTAGACTCTACAACCCAACTCGGTACATCATCAGATGCAGCATTCTTCACCTGACCTCAGCCGGACTATAAATACTCGCGTTCCTTCCACCCCAGGTAGTTCTGTTTGTGACTTGAAAAAGCCCACTGTGTGGGCGAAACGTAGTCAATAAAGGATCACATTATACTGCATTTGTGTTTATATTGCCATTGTGTCGGTATTTTATACCATTTATTTCCTTCATTTGTGGCAATTGGTCGTTCGGGATAATCCTCTCGAGAACTGGGCACATGCAGGATGTTAATGAGATAGGCCTAAGCTGATGTGAATTTGGGTTGGAAATGGGCATTATGTGTCTGAGTCCAGCAATCCTGTAATACTCCTCGTAGATGGTTAGCTAGGTTTAGAGCCTGTCGACTACGCGAGTTACATTGAGACTGAAAATCACCTGTTTACCACCAGTCAAAAATACTTTAATCACTGAAGTAGGGGTTAAAATAAACTCTCAATGTGTATACACTGAAAGACATTTCTGTGTATATATTCCAGTGGCTGTATAATCAGCTCCATTACAAGATTAATGGGCAACTCAATAAGAAGCCGCTGAGTACTGTATATTACAGCATCATCGACACCATGCCTAGCCCTTCTATGGTAGGGTAAGTGCCTGAGCCAGAGCTTGCAGCTCACAAGACTGTCATTCCCATTAGCCCCCTTGGGGCGGGGATGGCAGACCAGAGAGGCCTACTTTCTCCCTACGAGCCCCGTGAGGGCGGGAAATGTGGCTAGGCCTGGGGACAGTTGGTCCCAAAGATGAGGGGGTACTTGTGCCTCCTCCCATGGGAGACTTAAGTCTCAGACATTCCCTAGACAGGGAGCCAAGGCCTGGCCACCACTTGGAAAAGGACCGGGCCGGGAGAATACCGGCGAATCTTTAATAATAATTACAGCATCACTTGGAGCTAAAGTACATAACTGTAAAATTATAAAAAAATAACATGAAAATTAAATTGGGTTATATTAGATTAAATAGGTTAGGTTAGGCAAGATTTGTCAGGAAACATGACAAATGTTTCCTGAAGCGGGTCTTAGTCATATGATGACCCATAGCTGAAGCTTTTGGTATCAGACCGAAGCCTTTCGCGGCTTTCTGGTCCACACTTTCAGAAATTATAGTAATGATTATAACCATTTTCATTATTTAGATTAATGTACTATACATGTGTGTATGTTTCCATGAGACTTGTGTGCCTTCAATAACAATGGAAAAAATAAATCTGTTAAATCTAAATAAGTCATCGTGTCTGACTTTTTTCTGGGTTATCCTAAGTAATTTACACAATGTATGATAAATGTACATTTGTGTTCCTGTATCTAAATAAACCTACTGATTTACGCTTAATTGTATATTATTATTATTATTATTATAATCAAGGGGAAGCGCTAAACCCGGAGGATTATACAGCACCTGGGGGGATGTGGAAGGCATTCAGGCTTAATTCGGGGAACTGGAGCACAGATCCAATTCCCTAAATCAAGAGCCCCTCACCAACATCAAGGAACCTTCCTTGAGGGGCTTAATTGTATAGTTTTGAGTTGTCCCTCATAAAAAGCCTTCGCTGTTCGTTTTCTCTAGTCGCACAGCTGTGTTTAAGGGGAAACTACTCAAGATAATCCAATCATGTTACGCTATCATCGAGGGCTGTTTGTCTTATTTCCACTGTTGTTTTAAAATTCTACAATAACTGTATTCAGTACAAAATTATTACAGGCTCATAGCGGTGACAAATAAACATATTTAATGGGTCACATGAAAATTCCCTATTTCCCCCTCAAGGAGCACAGGAACCGTGTTGCGATATTAGAAGCAATTTTCCTTATCCCTTTTGACCCTGTCCACCTACAAGTTAAAATAAATACCTACGGGTTGGCCTACTACTGTGAGTCACTTGCAGGTATATCTCTGCTATGTAATTGTGTAAGTAAACTCCAGTTCTTCCAGATATCATATCCTGTGTAAGACAACTCGTCTTGCAAAAAGTTTTATCCAGTGTAAGAAAACTCTAGCTTTGTTAAAAAAATTATCCTGTGTAAGAATACTCCAGTCTTATTAAAAAGTTTTATCCTGTGTAAGAAAACTCTAGTTCATTTATATCAAGCCAGGTAGTCCATCCTCATGCCCTGATTTATGTATCCCTGTCTAAAACTTTATCTCTAGAAACTGTTTACGGTATTAAAAAATATGGCATTTAAAAAGATACGGTATGTAATTTCAAAAGTTTAATTAATATAGATTTTGAGCAATATCGTTATAAGTAGCAACTACAAGTAGCAATTACTTGTGTTCACCAGAAAGAGGAAAATTTGATCTGCATCACCACTCCACCTGATGAGAAGCTATGGGCCTCCCATAGCGCAGGAAGAAGTATATAAGCGGAAAAAATATGAAATAACGAAAGAAAAGTAATGGCTATCCTGAAGTTACTACAGGAAAAAGAATAGGATAAAAATTCACAGCCAGAGACATTCAACGGCAGCAAAGCCATAAATAACACATTAGATATATTTGTGGTGGACTAGTAGGACACATGGAAACACAGCAAGAACGTGATCCTGTGAAGTGTAATCAATAGAGGTTCGAACCTCCTTTTAGGGCTTGGCCCCTGGATATCCCAGATAGGAGACACGTGTCACCACCAGGGAGTATAGGGTGGGATTGTGCTTATCTCTCCTCAGGGATGGCTCCGAACTCAGAGTTGCTGATGTCGTAGAGGGTGGTAGCTTCCTCGCAGGGTACAGCGTCCTCAGGGTGGGAGCAAGTGAGGGACTCCTGGTTGAAGATAGTCTCGTTGCCACAAATGAAGGAAAAGTGGGCCGTCTCGAGAA